GCCTGGGCCTTGGCTGTGGGGGGGGGGGGGAGGAGGCTTTTAGTCTTGAAAGTAAGCAAGAGTGGTGTGTTGTGGAAAGCTTTTATCAGGTAGGTTTCTCAGGTGGTATGTTTTTCCAAAACCAGGATTTTGGAAAAAAAGTGTTACATGTCTGCACTTCTAAAATTACACTGAAGTTTTCAGGTGTTTTTAGCAATCGGGAACGTCTGATACAACCAAATAACCTGCTGGCCAGAGAGCCTCCCGCTGTACTGCTTGGTATTTAGTTAAACCAGTGTCCCAGGAACCGAGGTTGCCCAGGTTATTTTCCTCTCTGTCATCACTCTGACATGGGAGTGTTCTGTCACGTTTCAGTGTTTAATTGCCCAACATCTTGGCATGTGCTTTGCCATGAAAAGTGCCACGGAGGAGGAGATCTGAGCCTGCGGTACCTGCTTGCGCATTAATTAGTGAGTCCGGTAGCTTTTACCCGAGAGTTGAAGTGACGTCCCTGGGAGGTTGCAGGGGTGGTAGCTGTGGTTGGGTGCTGAGAAACCACGCTAAGATGGCTCAGAGTGCTGTCACCTCTGTGGGCCACAACTAAGGAGATACTGTGCAAGTTTAAATTAAACGCATTACGTTTTTGATGGAGCCAAAATCTGCACAGGTGTCTGCTGTGGAAGAACTGAGTTTTGCTGCTTGAAAAAGGATGGCTTGGGCTGCTGGAGGAAATGGAGGGGGAAGATGGAAGGGGCAGGAACTTGGCTGGAGAAGAAAGCAGGGCTTGCCTGCTCTGCGGCCCATGGAGCTTGCAGAGGGAAGGAGAAGCAGCAGAAGGACCCGGGACCTTCCATCCCTGCCAGCTGCTGCCAGCCCGATTTCCTGGGGCTGCAGCTGCATGTTCTCTTCGCTGAGCATAATGCTCATGGTGCTGATGTGTGCAATGGAGTGGAGTGGATATTTAAAAGCAGTTTTGCACTGTAAGTGATCTCCTGTTACAGCAGGATTGCTTAATAGTCCTCTCTGGCATGTTTTCTTACTAAAAGAAAGGCCTGATGCTGGGCAGGAAGCAGCAGTGACAGTTTGTGGCACAGCTTGCCGAGGGAAAGCTGGCTGATAAGAGTACTGGATTGTTCATGGTGTGCTGGTTCTTTATGTCTGTGCTTGTTGTTCAGCTGTGCAGGGCCCTTACTAACTGCATCTGCTTTGGCTGTCTTCGTGGCTCCTGTGCCCTTCAGAGCCCTCTTCCCTAGAGGAGCCTTCACGCAAAATCTTCCTGTTTTGCTGTGACAATTGCATGCAGCTAAACAAAACAAAACTGAAATGGCAGGCTCTGTCCTGTTCGGAAATCCATAGCATTTTGTTTCTGGGGGAGGCTCTGTTGTGTAGGAAAAAAAAATGTGCAAAGCAGGGGGGAGTATAATGAGGAGAGAAGGAACAGTGGTGTAAGAGTGTATTTGGGTTAATTTCTGTGTTTTGAGTCTTTCCAGAGAGGAGTGGGCAAGGTGGACCCTTGTGCAAGGCAGAGTGAGACTGCTCCTGCCCTGGTGAGTGCTGACCCTCCTCAGGGAGTGCGCTTCAGAAGCAGCAAGCCCCTGCCCAGGCTGACGGAGGGAGAGCCTTGGTAGAAATAGTATTGAAAAAAGGTGTTTAATATTTTTTGTTCCCACTCCTGTGTTTCCTGGGCTCTCCAGACTGTGTTGCTGCTGGTGCCTAGCAGTGGTAGTGCTGTTCCCAGGACAGCAGTTTTGTCCCGGTGTGCTTTGTAAGGCAGTGCTGAACAGTTGCAGGGATGCCTTTTGGTCCCAAAAGTAAGGCTAAAACCTCGGTCCTTTCTGAGCAGCAGCACTCTTCTTGTTGCACAACTTTTCTCTGTTGAAGCCTGTGGCTATTCTGGAAGAGGGTACAATCCCAGCGGCTATAATCTAATCTAACATGATTCCTATGAACAGGAATCCATTTACCATTAATGAGGATCTTAGTTCCTTTCTAAGCTTCAGTTCATCTGGTCTTGCAGTTAGTATTCTGTTTGCCTAATAAACCCTAGGGTGTGTTTGCTAGGGTTTATCCCAGACAGGGTTTTCTTTTTTCAGTGTGACAGTTCAGTGTGCTTCACTTCTACAGCCTGTTCTCCTTCACATTTACTCAAATTGAAGCATTTTTTGCTTTCAGCTTTCTTGACTGCATATCGATATTCCCTCGAGTCTGTCTCAGTTGCGAAGATGCTGCTTTCATCTGATAACCTCTCATTGACTTAAATAAGCTGTATCTTCTGCCTTGTCTTGACCACCTCATTTCCTTTTAGTTTCATGTTATAGCTGTCTAGTTCTTGCTGCTTGTGGAGTAATTTCCAGTACCTCTGGATTCCTGTGTATTGATGCTCCATTTCACACGCCATTTAATTTTCTTTGAATCAACAGCAGATGCTCAGCTTAAAAGATTTTAGCCAATATTCTTGGATTGCCTGCAGAGACATCTCTGCAGTCCCAAGGAATTTCTGGGTACATTGGATCAATTGCTAAGAAGAATGCCAACAAATGAAACAAATGTCAGCATTTTGTGGGTTTTTTTTCTCTGTTGTGGTCATGCAGGGTGTGACATGTTTTGCCAGGTCCTTATGTTCTTAGATGCTCATGCTTTCTCTGTGTCCTTTGCTGCAGAAGAAATGCTACCTGTAGAAGCTGCTTTCTGAAATAGAGTTGTTGCTTTTCTTTCCTTCGAGGAGAGAAGTCAGAGTGGGTCGGGCAGTGTGCTGGTGGGTGCAGTGATTTCCAGGACTTGGACGACTCGGCCCAGCAGCATTCATGTGTGTCTTCTTGGAAATCTTGGTGTGGTGTGTTTATGGTGGAAAACAGAGTGATTGACCCAAAGGCTTGAAGGCTGATGAGAAAGGAAAGGGCTGACACTAATGTAGGAGAATTGGTAAGGGCAGAAGTGATGTTGGCACATTTCAACCCTCAAATGAAATCTGGCGCTGCTTGTTTATCTCCCATTTTCATAAGAAAGGGATGAAAATCCTAGAAACTGGGGTTGGGGAGGGGAATGACTTTTGAAGTTGATGCATTTTGACTGATGAAGTTTTCTGCTGTCTGAGAGTGTGCTGAGAGTCCCCCTCGCTGTGTGCTAGTGGGGCTCTCCTTTTCCTCGAGTTGGACCAAAGAGACTTGTTTTGAAAGTAAACTCTAAATAGATGTGGGTTTATAACCACTGAACCATTATCTGATGTTGGTGTGACATCTGCTAACATGCCCATGTATCCTGAAGTGCATTTAAACTTTATGTTACCAGCTCTATAGGGATTTACTCAGAGTCTTTCAGCAATTTAGCTGCTTGCAGGCAGCATCAGAATTAGTTTTATAGCTGTTGGTGTTAGGAGTTGTTTCCTGAAGTGTGCTCGAAACACAGAGAGATGGGCTTCCCTTCCTCCAGGTTTTCTCAGTTCTTGTGTGGTTTATGACCTTTGCTGTGTGGTTTTGTTTCTTCTTATACGATATGCATAAAGACTAGAAGAGATAGTGGATAAGAAAAATGTGGTTAAAAACAGTGGTTAAAGGAAAAAAAGTCTTAAAAAACGTAACATTGTGACCTGCATGTGGTGTACAGAGACTGATTGTCCTACCAGACCTGGTGTAATACATGTCTTAGAGATGCTTTTTCACTGGCAGCAGAGAGCCTGCTTTTAGGTATCTCAGAGACCTGGGCTCTGCGAATCATGTAGTGGCTGGAACAAGGTCTAAGCCTGGCTTCTGACTTCTGCTCATGTGCTGGGACCTTTCCTTGTGTTTTACAAAACATTTTGAGGAAATAAGCATTAAAACTTGCTCATCTTTTGCCTCATGTAATAGCTGTGTGTTAAGCAAAACTCCAGCTGACCATGAGACCCTTGCTTTAAAATCTTTTCTCTTGAAATTTGCAGAATGTAGGTGTGGATCGGTCAAGAGAAGAAGCTTTGAGGACAGTACCTAACCACCTATAGCTCCAGTTCCCGGGGGTGGCAGCCCTTCCTCCAGCACAAGAGCATCAAGTAGCAGCTCAGGTCCTGGCGAATGGAGGAGGCGTTGCTGAGCGCCGAGCAAGTTGGAATGAACGCGCCTCCCCTTCACTTTAAGACATTTCGAATGTGATTCAGCTTCTTTGGAGAAAACCTGTAGTTGTGGATAACTCCCAGTGCTGAAAGGTATCAGTAAAAAGATTTATGGGAAGCAGAGTAGAGTTGGTTTTAGATTTTTTTGGTATGTAAATTTGTGCAGTTTCAGTGGTTTTTATTGTTCGTCTGTGGATACTGCAAGATGGTTAATTGCCCTTGTCAATTTTACTGTCAGATTTTAACTAGATTTTACTTTCCTTTTTAAGTGTTTTTCTAAGAGTTCCTCTTACTTTTACTGTGAATGATTGCCTAGAGTTACATGGAGATTTTTTGATGGTGTATTTAACATAGGTGAAATTCTACATTTTGAGCATTGGAGGCTTCATGTTGCAAAACTACCTTAAATGGGAAAGCCTGTCAGCTCTGATGGCTTTTCTGTGTTTTGAATTGAGCTTTTGTTTGCAAACCACAACTTAGATTTTTCTGAAGTGGGGAGACTTTCCCTTTGGAAAATAAAAGCATTAAAGCTAGATTCGCTACCTGAAAGGTTCTGCTCTTTTAGCAAGATTTTAACATTTTCCAGGGGCTGGCTGTATTTTGGAGGGCAGTGGAAGACATAGTATTAAGTAGGGGACAAGAGTGTGAGTCTAGCTGGCAGCCTGGCTAATGAATTCTCGGGGGGGGGGAGAGGTCTGTCGGTCCTTTCTGCTGCAGTTACAGGAGGGGATGAGCAGCTTTTCTGAGACTGGAAGGGAGGGGAAAAGGATTCAGACTGTCAAGGGCTGGAGAAGCTGCTTGTCTTTATTAGTGCTGTGATTTTTTAAAATTTTTTTTTTTTAGGCAATTTTTGGAATGAATTTCAACATAAAAGTATATGTTTGTCTTTTATAGCCACATTTAATATGTACATCAGGAAACAGTACAGAAAGGTTAGGTGGAGTTTAACCATTCTAACAGCTCATGCAAGAAAAACACCAGGTAAATTCTGAAATTACTTTTAACATGGCACACGTGCCTTGGGTTATTTTGTGTTGTTTTTAAGCATCTTCCACCATCCCAATTCTTTGCTGCTCTTTTAAACCTTGTGAAACTCCAGTGCTAAAAATGGAATTTTCTATGTCCGTTGAGGCCATGACCTTTTAACTGTACTAAATCAATGTGTATTTTTTATGTGTGTTACCAGACAACTGCAGAGAGCTGCCAGCACTGCTTTCTTAGTTCTGAAACGAGGAGAGCTATTCTTTGGTAGTTGGACTGTGTTTTTTTCTAAGGACTTCTCTTCAATTAATTGAGCTTTTACCATGTGTGTTGTTGGGGTTGTTTTGTTGCTTGGTTGGTTTTTTTTTTTCTCCTTTTTCTCAATTCCCGTGTGAAATACGGGGCCCTCGTAACAGTTTTGCAGGCAAGGGCTAGATTGTCTTTTGTTTATGCAGGGTTTATAAAATAATGTGCTGCTGTTGTGATTTGTTTTAATAAGCTAATTTCAGCAATACATTCAGCTCTGGAAGTAAGCCATACCGTATCACTGGGTTCCGTTTCAGAAGAGAAATGTGTAGGGTACAGAATGACGAGAAACACTTGCTTCAAGCACTGCTGTCTAAAGCTTTGTGTGTGCGATCTGCGTTCAGTAACACCCATTTCAAATCTTTATTAATTCAGCTGTGTCTGTAGTTATTGTGTGAGGAGAAAGACCACACAGTGCTGCTCAGAGAAGTTAATTTATTGATGTGTAGTTAACAAGGCCACCGTCGTGGCGAAAATGTAGCAGTAATTTCCCCTCCTGATTAGATGCGTGTTCAGCGTGGGAAAGCCAGGCTGTGCTCCAAGCAGCCCCCGCTCCTCCAGACCTCCACCGTCCAGCCGTGACCAGGAGTTGTTAAACGGCTTTTAAATTGAGAAAGTCAGAGTTTATCTGTAGTTACAGAGGGCAAATCCCAGGAGACGGCACTAGAAAAGCAGGGTTTCACTGGTGGACTGTGGTACTTGAGCTTGGACCTGGTGGAAGAAAAGTGGTGGAAGGAAAGGTTTCCCCTAGTGAGAGCTGAGCCCAAGGGCCGCTTCTCTTTACTGGCAAGCACGGCTTGGGGTGTCTCCCCTCTCTCCCTGTTTTACCCCTCTCAACTTTCAGAGGTGCTGTAAAATTCCTTAAGGCTAAATGTTTTATGTATAGTAGGTATTTTTATAGCCTGCTTTTGAATATACTGTGATGAGTGTTTTACTAAGTTGGGTGTTCAGTAAAACAAATTGTATACAAGTGTAAATAAACTGTTATGCTGATACTTGAAGAGAAAAAAAAATACGAAGTTGTCTGTTCTACTTTAGGAAGGTACTAATCACTGACTGCATCTGATCCTTTCTAGCTGATGAGACCAAGTGTAGCCCACGCATGTAGATTTGAAGCGAGTGATCGGTTCTCCTCGGGGAATAACCGCCTTTCTGGAAAGGCACTGTTGAGAATTGCAGATTGTTGTCACTGTCTAAAAGCTGTGTATGTCCCCCCCTCCTGATTGAACTGTCACTGATGGGGGAGGTGACAACCCTCGTCCTGACCTTGTGTATTTGTACCCATGTTTATTTTATTGCCTTCTGACTGTTAATGCACTTGCTAGTTCAGATGCAGTCTCTCAAATGGGATTAAACTTGTCTTTTCTTACATCGTTGGCCTTCGTTGTAATCTTCCAGACAAATGTAATCATTTGACCTTTGATCCAAGTAATAAAGATCAAATGCTACAACGTGTGCTGATGTGTGTTTCTTTCTGTACCCATTCACAGTAGCTGAAGTGCCAGGCGAGTGTTTGTTCCTGCAGCTCAGCGGGTTTCCACAGCTTTCGGAAGTGTAGCTTGGTTAAGAGCGCTTATACATAAGTGTAAGAATTGAGTTAATTTACCCGTTTGGTTGCTTTACTCAGATAAATAATTATAATTTAAGTAACAAACTCAGTAACTGAGGAAGAAGTTGGAAGAATTTATTAAATAAATTACAAGTCAAGATTTGCACACAAGGGAGGAGAAAGGTAAGACTTATTAATTTTACCTGGTCATTGGTGTTTTAAGATCTGATCCACACTCTCAAATCTACGCTGTTCTTCTGTAGTATTCCAAATGCTGCTGTTTTTTTGAGAAAGCTGAAAACCAACTGCAAAATGCTGCCTTCTAGTACAAATTTGCATGTATAGGTTAGGCAGGTGGCATTAAATTTGCTGGGGTACTTGTCATTCTGAAGGATAAGGACAAAATTAATTACTACTTTGTGGTTTAAAATTATGCATTCAAATTTTCCTGTCTTGTTGATCACTGTATATTCTTGGGTGGTAACCGCTTGTATCTTCTCTGCTAGGTGGAAGGAGTGTTTTCTTTGTTTTTAACTCTACTATGTATTTATGTTTGTGGGGAAGGTAATTTTCTTTGTTTGTTTTAGAGCTTTTAGGCCGCTTTCTGGACAGAATTCTTTAATACCTCCATCCCCTTGTAGTGTGAGGATGGCCCAGACAGCGATGCTTGAGCCAACTCAGCCGTTTGCTGTCCACCAGGCAGCCCTTGGGCACAGCAGTTCTGCGGAGGAGGTCCCCAAAGCTGTGCGGTCTGCGGAGCTTTCACTTCTGGTCGCTGTAAGGAGCTCAGGGCTGCGGCAGGGCAGTTCCCTGTTCAGGCGGCGCAGTTCACACAAGGTACGTGGCTACACAGTACGGTGCTGCTGCTGAGCAATGTAGTAACTGCTCTGCGGGGTAAAGGTGTCCTTGCCCGGGTCTCGTGCGTGCAGTCGGGCTCTTAGAAGGCACGCTTGTGGCAGCTGGAGAGCCTCCAGGTCGGTCAGTCAGATGAAGCTGCTGAAAGAGTTGCTGTGTGAAGATCAGGGTCCTTCCTGAGCAGGTTTGGCACCTGTTACTCCAGAGCGAGTGCTAAAAGGAGTGAAAAATGGCAAAGCAGAAGGGTCTCAGGAGTTACTGGAAAGGGAAAAACCCAAGTTTGTTGCTCTCGCTGGCAGTGTAGCATTTGTTCCCCCTCTGACACGGGGTTTTGTGTTGGTGCGTGCAGTGGTAACTAGGCAAACCCTGTCTGTTTGGAAATGCCAACTGTGTTCTGACTATTCCAGTCTCAATCTGCTGTACGCTTGGATGACAACTGAGTCTTGCTGGCATTGCTTGAATTGTAACAACAAGCCAGAGCTGTTCTTTAGAAGGAAAACAAAGGTGGCACTGTATTATTGAGTCTATAGGAAGTCTTACTGAGGCGGGTGGGTGATAGCTTTCTCCTGCTCTTTCAGCAGGGTTAACAGTCTGAAACTACCCAGAAGCTACAGGGTGCTCCTAAGAGCCCTGCAGCATTGTGTAACTGTGGTGGACAAACTGATACTCACCAGTACGTTTTTTTTCTGCCTGCTCAGTGGTTGAGAAAATGAAGTCATTTGCAGTATCAAAATTCAGAAGTAGGTAATTGCAACAAAGCAGGATCTAGTTTTGTGCCTTTTTACAGCAAGTAGAAAGAGCCACAGCTGCTGTAATAAAAACAAGCAGATAAAACTGGAAGAAAGATTTTTTTGTGCTTGGCAGTTAAGCAAGATGCTTCCTCTCCGGCAGACCCAGCAAGTGGTACTAAGGCTCTACACCATTGTTACCTGGCAGTTTCCTCCTGGTAAGCTGCTGTGAGCGTGTTGTGCATTTCTATTAATAGGAAGTGGCATTTAACAGTGGAAATGTGTATTCCCAGGCCGTATGCTGTGGTTGCTGCGGGATACTTGGGCCTTGCTGTTTTATGCTTATGCTGCCTCAGAATAAACATTCAGCATGATCAGTGAAGCCTGACTCCTCTTGGCACTGACTGCTCTGACTGAGAGACAGGTAAGAGTAGCATGGAGCTGTTTCCCACAACAGCTAGTGTTACACTATGAATCTCTGCTTTTGGTTAATTCTCCTAAAATATTTGGGTTATTTTTGTGAGTGAGTGATCAGGGTTTATAAAGACAACTGGAGTTTAATTGCCTCTTTCTAGAAAAAAATCGTAAAGCCGTGATTGAAAGTTTAAGGTAACTTTCTTTTAATTGAAGACAAATAAAAGAACCAAGGGCTCAAACACTTTTAAAAAGACATCTTCTGTTTCCTAATGTCTTTTCTCAAGCAAAATATACAGCATATATATATATATATATAACATAACTACATTCAAGTACCAAACAGAATTTACATTTTCCCAAACAGGGAAAATAATGCACAATGATTCACATACCTTAAACCCAACCATGCATAAAAGAACACTGCCAATAAATCAGCAGCTGGACATAATTAATCACACTACTGTGTATTATTCTGAAGTATCGACAACATCCTTGGAACGTATAACACTGAGCACTTGGGAGGTTTCAGTTTATAACGTTTAAGCCTGCTTTAAAGTCTGACTCTGTTCAGAGACTTATTTGCTTAAGATCTGTTCGAATTTAGGGTTGATAAAAGAAAATCCATCAAACGCAGACTGATCCATGGACTCGATCA